GAGAGAGAGAGAGAGAGAGAGAGAGAGAGAGAGAGAGAGAGAGAGAGAGAGAGAGAGAGAGAGACAGATAGAGAGAGAGAGAGTGTGTGTTAATCGACCGCTACCTGTGTCGGTGGGCGTTGGCGTGCATGCGGTGGCTTGTCTGGCGCACTTTAGTTTCCTCTACTTTCGCATTGCGCCGCACTTAGGAGGTTTTCGCCGGGTGGGGTCTATGGCGATGGCACAGTCCATCTCGTCGGCGGCGGGGGTTTCGTGATGCGCATGTGGTTGTAGGTCTTTGCGACGATTTGCAGTGTGGTGCCACCGTCAGTGACGGGTGTGAGTGATGGAGGCCATTTCCGGGTGTGTGTGTGTGTGTTTTTTAGGCTGGTCGGGATCGAAGTTGCCTTGAAGGGCTGTTACATCGTAACTATGACGTGTTGTGCTGTTGCCGGGAGTGACAGCATTAAGATAACATATCTTGTAATCTTTTTTTTGATGTCGTGAAGGTTGTTCTCCGTGTTCGTGACCAATGACAAGTATTTTGTTAAAGAGAGAGACGCTGTGTGTGTGTCATTTTTATTGCCTTCATCTGTGCTCGCATTTGGAATGGGTTGTGTAAAAATCCATCAATCTGTGATAAAGCATTTGTTGAATCATACATCTGTCACCACTTTCCATGTCGGTGCAGCCCTGACAATCGTGAATGCAAATGAAAAGCGAACGCAAAGGAGTCGACATGAAGCTGTAGACATCATCAATAACGAGAGACACAAGAAACGACAACATCGTCCCGACATCATGAAAAGCAACGAACACAAGAAGCGACAACCTCCTGAAGTAGGGCCGTCATCAATACCAATGACAGGTGTCACATGTTGGTTGTTACAAACGCGAACATCGATTTCTTAAGACCCAAAACAGATAACAAAAGAAAAAAAAAAAGTAAACCACGACAAAAACATACGATAATTACACACCCCCACGGTGACCTGTCCACCACGGCGATCCACCACGAACGCACGTCGTCTACCGATCATCGACATCCAATCCTCCCCCCACCCCACCCCCCTCCCTTCTACCGTCTTTCCCTTTTTTACCATCTTCGCCACCGAAAGCTCCTGGGCAACGAAATCGGACTGCCAGCCACAATGTATGTACAGAAAGGGGATGATGGTTGGTCTGCCGTCGAAAAACAAGCCACGGCAGAGCAGCATCACGCGAGGAAAAACTACGTAGACGACTAAAAGGCGTCATCGACCCCCCCCGCTTCCCTGTTCGTCGCCTTTCCCGTCGTCTTTGTCTTCCGGGGGGCCTGTGCCCAGCCAATCCACCTTCTTCGCCTCCATCGGGGAAGACAACAAGGTGTCATGTGAGAACTTCACACCGATGGACGCCCAGTCGGGAACATACATTGGAGGGTCGATCAAAGTGATGGGGGGACTCGCCAACTTGTCGGTGATTACGGTCGCAGCTTGCACGATGTGCCGACGCGCATCGAAGTAGCGATGCATGGATGCGACGAGTGTCGGGTTCGCCGTGAGTTGGACGAAGACCCAGGCGTCGTAATGCGCGCGATGATCCTCACCCGCCATCCGCATGAGCCACATGGTCGCCGCGAGCATCATCCGCATCACGTCGGCCATGGTCTTCAACCTTTCGTGCGATACACGGTCGCCGTCCGTCGCCTCCACAATGATCACGGCGCTCGTGAAAGCCCCCACTCGTCGCTGGTTGCTCGCCTCGTGATAAGTTGCCAAGCCGTCGTCCTCGTGCCTGTCTTCGACATCGGCGCCCACGAACCACAAAGGCAACTTCATATCCATGTCGAGCGTGTGGTGGACGACCATCAGACTCACACAATAACGCCAGTCCTCCCCCATCCACATCGCGCAAGCGATGTCGGTGGCCGCGTGGTTGAGTGCGTACTGGTACGCCGCGTGGTACCCCCTTTGCCTGTTCTGAGACTTGAAGACCCACCCGTGTATCACCCGCAAAGCGATCCGCTGAACCTTCAGCGCCCTCTCCTTCGCAGCGTTTAACTCCGACTCGTCCGCGATCTTGTGCTGCGGGATGCTGTTGTGAGGCAAGACGATGCTGCGACGAATGAGCGGAGGCTGCTCTCCCCGCACCACAGCCACAAGATAACCGCGCGCCTCCGCGATCAACTTGATGATGGCAAATCCCTCCCTCTCGTTCCAGAAGTGGAGGTCATCCACCCACAGCTTCGCCGCCACCTCCATTCCTTCCCGCGTATTCTGCTGGCGCAGCCTGTTCACCAATGCTTCGTCGTCGTCCCCCTCCCCTGCAAGATCGCCTGCCTTCACCCCTGTCGTCGCCCCTTCCCCCGCGTTTGATCCCCCCCCCCGGCTGCGTAGCCTGCCCTCGCCACCCCGCCCGCGGGTGACCCCCC